GCGGCGGCGGCGGAGATCATGGTCACTTAAACTGTCTCCTGTGAATTTGTCCAAACACACAAACACAGATAGAAAATAAGTGATAGAATAAAAGTGAATGAAGGAGGGACAGGTGAGCACACGAGATTCATGCGATGCGTCTCACCGCAAACGATGTGTTTCTAATCCAATCTCAGGATGAATGTGGCACTGGTATCGCTAAGTATGATTCAATAATGGGGTTCCTATCAAACAGTTGGAGATGTTTCAAGTTTTGTTTCTGTTTTGAATGATTCCTATTGATTTGGCTAATTGTGTAAGCCATAGTGACCAATCGCGGACTAACTGGATTGGTCCCTGACCGATCAGACAATCCGGATAAACAGAAAGTATGGCGTTTTGTTTTTGTTGAAAGTGTATTCCTTTTTCGCGGTCCATGCGGCATAATCGAATCAACTTGTCCAGAGAGCTAAACGGTATTTGTTGGGCCGTCCAACATTACCCCGGGCTATCTAAGTACAAGCAGATGGCTCAGCATTACTCAATTTCGATCATTCAACTTGGAGACACTCCCTTAGAGTCGTAGGTCAACTTTTTGATGCGTGCACGACTGACATGCTCCGCTGTTGTGCAATCGAGATGAATGAGGTGAGCTGCAGAAAACTGATAGGTTTCACAATTGTTTATCAGGTATTTTCAAAAGCTCTCACCACAATTAAAGACCAGATGTTATTCACTGTATGAGACCATGTTACAGATTTCCCCACCCACCAGAGAAAGCAACGGGACTTGTGGATTCCACTGAATAAAGAGTTTTCCGCTTTGCTTTCCCAGTGATAGATCAAATGTGTATTCAAAAGACTTCAACTGAAACCGACACAGAAAAGCGGTTACACAAACGCGAAATCGAATCTGGTAAACAAAACCTAATGGAGAACCGCTCGTCTCGGATTGTTTGGAAATATTTACTTGAACTTAAAATGGCCACATGACTGATACGAGGAGGTTAGCAATTAGATGTACATTAACAAAAAAACCCAACTAATAAAAATTTTCGCGTTCAGAGCGAAGCACAAACGTTATTGTTCCAAAACTTGCACACCCCATTCCTCACAACCCGATTGGAGCAGTGTTGAACGTTCACGCGTACGCAGACACTCACTAATCAACAATGATTGATGATGTGAGTACGTTTTACAAGATCTGAAAAAATGTCGTAACTTGTTTCCGTTGAAAAACTGAACTCCAATACTGTCTGATAGAATACAAGCATGCAATCACAAATAACCCTGTGTCTGTGCATGCGTGCGTGCGTGAGTGAGTACAAGCAGTTCTCAGATCCGTGCAGATAAACTGCAGTTTTCACCTGCAGTCGACTCAGGTAACACATTTGCACACTGCTGTCTGTGGGACCCGTTTTAGCGGACGATAAATGCACACACACACACACACACAGGTTCGATTTTATCAGTCAACGGGAATCGACAAGATGAAGCAATTCAGGATTGAGTGCACATTAGAAGTGATTAAGAAGAAAGAACAATAATGAAGCATCCGAAAAACCTCCCTTTTTCATTTTCCATTGATGAATGAAGTCGGGTTCTATACCTGTGGAAAAAATTGTTGGGACTCGCGGTGTCATCATTCCCTCTTAATTGGTTTAATATGAGTGCTATATTAAAATTCGTCCAAATAGTGTCAGCCCACTGGCTGTATTGTATACTAGTTGTGGACTATTTGTTACTCTGGAAATTTCTTTCTTTTACCACAGTTAAACATTTCCAAATGGAAGTGCACGATAAGCCCGTTGGAATCACTTCCTGATTCTAATGCTTTTGCAGTTGAAAGCATACTATGACTTGGTGCTTCCTGCTTTGTCCAACGTAAATATTTTTCCCTTAAACAGTCCACTTCACAGCCCTCGGTATTACCCAAGTTATATTATTTGGATGGGATTGTAAACTCAAAAAAGAACAACTAATTAGATAAACAAGTGATTTGTTCAATAAGGGACCGAAACGAATTAGGGAAATAAGTGTGCTTTGCACAATTGCACTGTTGTCGTGTCGCGTCGGTAGATCCAGTGGATAACACACATAAAAAGCTGATCTATGTGAAAAGACGGTTACATCGAACTTGATCACGTTGCGCAAGAAATAAACCTCACATGAAACGCAAACGGAAACGGAGGGCCTGGTTCAACGCAGCACGTTTTATTTGTCGTGTACTGGTGCCAAAACTCAACTAAGTGAATTATGAGAAACCGGGCTGCCTGAAATCAGAAGCTCTATAGTTAACCCCTCGTGTGTGTACTCTACCGATAAATTCCAAGCGCAACTGGAATTGATCTTTCGTGATTCGGCACAGTGAAATCTATCCGGTGAACTGAGTGAGTACAGTGAGTAAAGATGAAGTCTGAAACACTTTCGGCGAACAAAATCACATCAAAAATATAAAACAGAAATACCAAATATTTGAAAGAAATGGCACCTATTCGACCGCCATGCTCCATTTCGATTGGAATCGATTTCAATTGCTTTCCCTCTGCACTATTGCGACTCAGTTTTGAATTGCTACAAAAATAAACCTTGATGAACATATATACCGGCTCATCGGTTTCTACTGACTAGGTCACAAAATAATCGTAGCGGAGGACTCGTGTTCGAATCCCATCACGACTGCCTCCTGGCCTGCCCCATTCACAGTGTGCAGTATGAACGTCCTATAGTTGGTATCTTCACGTTTCCTGAAAATTGTATCATTGCATATTCAATGATAGGAAGTCAAATGTCAGATAAAAACAATTTTACGAGGATATGCCATACAAGACAGGGTCCACAGTCAGGAAACCTTTGTCCAATACTTCCTGAACCAAGTGGACAATCGTTTTCTCACGTCTGTGCACACTGAAACTTAAATAAAAACATTCCGGCGTGTTTAAATCCATTTCCACAGGCATGACACAGATTTCGATTTCAAAACGTTCAAGGTCATTCGCTCTCATTTGAACCGACCGATGATCTACCGTGATTTCTGCCACTGCTGTGGTTGTCAACACAACATAAAGCTCCTAGTTCACCTTATGTCTGTCCAGTGTGGTTTTGGAATGAGTCCCAAAACCTCTAAGTTTCACCAATTCATGTCATATGTGGATTGCACACGAGCGATCACACATCCGTTCAGGACATGCTTTGTGAAGACACCGGTTGATTTCAAATGAACTACCACTCTCGTACTTTTCTTGACGTTTGAATTTTCCACAAACACACACGAATCTGAATTTACCCCAGCGTCCATAAGGGAAAGTGGATTCATCCTTATCTAACAGACTATACACACACTGATCCCAAAAGCGAGTTACCTCACGACTGACGATGCCATGAAGGAGAAGTAAAAATGAAGTGAATGAGGACTGGTAACGGAATGAAAATTATCTCAACAAAATGCAGCAAGAGGAGTGCATTCTGTGATTCAATAAGGGGTGGGGGGTGAGGGGAATTCGGTGTTTCCAATTTTATTGTCATGTGACCTTCTTTCCATCGATACATCTTCCCGATGAACAAAACCTACCGCGATAAATGTGGATGGAACCAGAAGCCTAAATCGCCTTCTTTGTTGGTTAACCGTGTTTTACAACACGCACTTCCCCACCCACCCACGCACCCATCCACAAGCGACTGCCCATAAAATATAGTGACTACCATAAATCGAGTGCGGTTAATCACGATCGACAGTTAATCGATATCAACGTTAAACGCAGTCAATTAGATATTGCAGGATAAAAAAAAACAGAGCACCGTAGTCTGGTTTGTTTCTTTTTTGTCCACAATCTAATACAGACAAAATTGTTTTATTCCTCTAAAATACTAATAATAATTAATGAACCGCAATAGATCCGCTCATGTTTCCATGTTCTGTGCCCCCTCTGTATGTGTGTTTATGTACAGCCAGCGTCGGACAACGTGGAAACGATTGCCCGGAAAGTAAACCTTGGCCATGTCGTACACCAAATGTCTGTCTTTCATTTGCTCTCATCTGTGACGGGGAAGCTGATTGTCCGGACGAATACGACGAAGATCAAGAGATGTGCACAGCAAGTAAGTCCGTCATCCGATCGACACTGGTTGTATTGGCATCTAACTCACATTCCTCCCGATCATCAACTACTCGCTGCCTCTGTCCATACCCCCGGTCCAGTGACCGTCCCATAAGAGGTCAACTCTATAGACCAGAGAATAAAGGCTGTTTCAGAATTCTATTCAACAGACATAAAGAACCCGAGGTTTGCCCAATCTGTGATGGTTTCCTCTTTATTCAACCAGTATTTCAATCTCTTCAATGTGCATGAGGTTCGTAAGGTGTACAGTTATAGTTCCTGTATACGGAGGGGGGGACGATCATACAAGTGGCTCAATCAATCGCAGTTGCACAGCTTGCGTTACGGGGTACCGCACAAATCGATGTTAGCTCTGCACGACGACGGAGTTTCCACTTTCTGTTCATTCTGATTACCCAGTTTCTTGAAACCCAATACACGTCTGTCATTGGATGTGTGCAACTCAAAATATAACACACGAAATATATTTGTAGCCAGTCTGACAAAGGGCTAATAGGTAGTTATCTGAACTAAGTAGGTAAAAGTCATTTTTCACTTGATAAATTGATCAATAGGTTCTCAAGAATCCTAAGGATATTACACATCTACCACACACAGATTTAATTTCCTATCCTTTCCATTCATCTATTAGACCCCAATATCGTTATGTTCCCTCATGCATAACCATTTATCTTAACTCTACGGACCTAATTTTTTTTCTATACTGCGTCTACTGTTGATTGGAATGGATGCTTTATGCCCACAAAAGTTATAATCTCGAGTAGAATTACAAAATTACCCTAATATGGCACGGGCGAATGGGCCAGAGTTTGTCATAGCCATTTAATTGAAATGTAAGCATGCAAGAGCTTACAAAAGTTACAAAATACAATACAATACTTAGACTCATCGGTCAGTAACGTTTGCTTGTAAAAATAGTCAGGTAACAAAGCACAAGTTCGGATGCGTCTGGATAAACACTCATAAGTGAGTTTTCGCTATCAAAGCCGATCGGTGGATTCAAAACTTGTCAATCCATGGTGGGTTGGAGATGTGAGTTAAGGAGGAAGCATTAACTGCCTCCTGACACACACACACACAGACACCGAGTTTTGGAGACGGACGGTCCGTAATTCTGCTACAGCTGGAATTTTGAAACGTCATTAGCATAGTGCGATTTGTGAGTTCTTTGCTTCCAATAATAGGCTTTGTGGCACCAATGATCAGTTACGTAGGATGGTGGTGGTTACAAAATTGGACATTCTGAATTATGCAACAGGAAAAATCCTGCACACGAAAGAGGTGCACGTGGAGTGGACCGATTTTTGAACTTAGGCGCATAGAACCAATGGATGCGGAGCACGGTATTATTGATTATCTTCGAATTCTTTGGAATTCATCTCGAAATAGAGAGAGAGAGACGGTAGGTATGCTAGAAAAAATTGTGTAAGGTCGTTTTCTAACTTGGGATATGACAACACATTCTATTAATCTGCTTCACTATTTCCATTCACCAGCTACAATCCTAAAGACAGCCAGATCACATGATGGGTTTATGAGTGCTAATTCTAACCGGAGGCTTACTTAACTTTCCCACTTCCAGAATGATTCAGATAGCTACATGGCCACATCTACTACTGTTGTGAAGAAACCGAGGGACAACTTCTTTTCCCCTATCCATTTGAGGCGGAACGAGAAACTTGGTTGCCAATGTATTTAATGGCATATCTTCTCCCGGTGGTGGTGGTGGTACACCATATGAATCTAATAAAGGTCATTTGAGATAGAGTAGTAAAATATTTGGCTGCAATCATAACTGGTTTTGCCGATTCCATCAAAAATGTACAATACTTCAAATGAACGAAAATAGGTCATCCAAACTAGTTCAAAACTATTTCCCGGGACATTTTCACCGTTACACCTGTTCAGTCAGTAGCACAGCTAAACGAGAAACTATTCTATCCTCGCAATGATACAAATAAAAGAAGGGTCCGTGGGTTCCATTTAAACAGGAATGTATTATTTCCCGCACATGTGAATGCAGTTCACGGTGGGCCAACAATCTTGATTCACCCAACTTAGACAACTAATTTCCATTGTTTGATCTGGACATCAATAAGAAATGATCAAAACGTTCAGCAATTGTTGACTAATTTGCAATTTCGAATGTACCTGGTAATTTATTTATTCATATTTACTTAAGATATACTTTTCAAAGTTTCTTCGATTAATCGATTATCCAAAAGAATAATATGATATACAGTCGCACCTTGGAAGGAATTGTTGTAGTCCTATTTTTATCTCTCTCTCTCTGTCTCATTTGTGTCGCCCATTTTGTTTACATACTATGGCTCGCTACACTATACATCTCCATTTAGTCAACCCAAACTAACGTTTTACTATCCGCTCCATTTTTGCAGAGGTACGTCCGGCTGAGGAACACTTGCAAGGTTTTATCAATAAATACCGGAACTGGTTGATTCCCGATATCCTGGGTGAAGGAAAACCGGAGGAACTCGCTACTAAACTCGTAGGTAAGTCTGAATAATCCTGGGGTCGTTCGAATCTTCTCCTAATGTGGAATTTCACCTAATCCCCTGAGCCTCTAATGTTCTAGGTTCACCAAACATTTTACGGTAGCCCAAAGACGGATAATTGTCATGTTGTCTGCGTTTTTTACTCAAAGTCTGCAATATTGATGGTTTCCTCGGTTCGGTCACAGAAACTGCTAAGACCCGATTGTTTTTACATGCATTTGAGTAAATACTACCGTTGTCCGGCCTGTGAACTAACTCCGTTCCATTTCAGAGCTAAGTCGTTTGCCAAGGCTAATCCCCGGGATATGGGTACCGATTGATAAGAGCAGGTCTTCGTGAATAAAGAGCGTCCTCTGTCTACACTTCATCTCACCATAGTACGTCGTAAAACACCCCCTTCTCTTTCAAAAGATGATTCAGCCTATCCATCGGATATTATAATACAACTGATTCAGCATGATAGAGTGTCACACCCCAAGGGCATTAAACAATATCGCAACGACTAAATTTAACTGATTTGTTGTCAAATAGCTGTCTGATTAGGTCTGTCAAGTACTGCGCTAGCACGCACCAATCCATGGCATAAATGGCATAAATGTTTTGGCAAGCATTCATGTTACAGGTAATGGTTTCGATCGCTTAGAACTCATCTGGTGTTTCCAGTATGCAAAAATACGTATCTGGTCATATACTGTGGTCAGTTTGTATGGGGACTAACTGCAGTCCAGATGTATTTCATATACATATATATACCCAATTCCGTCAAAAACCGAGGACACCTCATGTTTCAAGTTCCCAATGCGAATAAAGTTTTTCTCTCCGTCATCGTACTAAACGACATAATAATATAATATGATATATATATATATAGTATATAATATAATATAATTCTTCCGGTGGCCCTCACATGCGGCAGTGCGTTTGTTGAAACTTTACCAGGCTATTTGAAATTACTGATGATTCCAGTTTGATGAGCCAGTGGGTGGCAGTAACCATGACACAAAATGCGATGAATATATTGCCCTGTTCTCGAATATCCGCTGATTCTGGGTAGGGTATCCATTTCAGAATTCACCCGATTACATCGACTGGGTGTGAAGGTAAAATAAAATCCTTATTTAAATTTGCCAGCAATAGTATGACCAGTAATTGCTGATTTCATATTCTCAGTCAGAACCAATGAGCATTCAGGAACAAGACTGGGGTAGTTTAATAGAAGCTAATTGGAAATACGAACTAAGAAAGAAAAGTAAAAAAAACAGTTTCGAGCACCATGCTCCATCAGATTATAAAAACGAATACATTCAAACGAGGTGTGACGGAATTCACAACAGAGAAAATAAAAACTACAATCGTATGGAATCATTTCGCCACGTATCACCCTACGAAGTTATCATCATCATCATCATCATCATCATCATCATCGGAAGCAGCAGCATCACCGTCATTCCTGACAGCTTAGACAAGGCTGAAAAAGTATATTTGCAGTTAGAAGAGATGGAGGGAGGGGTGAAGGATAGCCAATGACTATTCTTTCGACAACAATCAAAATAAATTTTCATTCAACATCATCATTTGAGTCATTATCATTGTACAGCGAAATGCAGGGAAGTGAACCGATCACTGCGAAGCTCCCAATGTACACAAAGTAAGTGAGAAATTGCAAGATGGACAGGGTTTGAGTATAATTGTAGGGAGACAAGGAAATGAGTATCTACGTTCAGTACACAGAATGAACGACCCAACTGTGCATGCATACACTTTTCAAGTAGTCTCACCTAATGAGAAGTGACAACAAGAACGCCACTGCTATCGGTTAATTTTCATATCCTTCAATTTCTCCAACCAACCAGTTCGACCCCAATCTAGAAAACGGGAGACCTATTCTGCCCAATCGTTCTGTGCATTTCTTAAAGCCTCATCTCCACGTCAGCTGTTGACCTCCGTGTGGTTTCCTCCACCCTGGAGCCATAATTCTAAATAAGGCGCGGTGCAGTGGGCGTGCGCGAAGCATGTCCTAACCAACGAAGTCGACTAATCTGGATTCAGTCTGATAAGGAATCCTCCACCGAATGATTACCTACGTACTTACCACGAATTGCACCATTTTGGGTTAGTTACACCACTCGTAATGAACCGCTATTCAAATTTGCAGAGAAATTAGCAGCTGTACACAGAGAAACCCTTGCCATGTCCGTCTACCCCTTCTGTGTTCATACTTGGTCAGAACAACACTGAAATAGTCCTGTTTTGTGTTTGGTAAGGACCAGTAGTTAAAGCGCAACAAAACGATTCCATTATAAAGCCAAGCTAACTGGCAGTTTTGTATTCTGTATGCGTGAACAAAATTACTTTGACTTGACTTGACTTGACAATCACGATTTGTGGGGAAACGCAAGAGACCCAAATTCCTTCATCGCTTTGTTACAATACAATCGCTCCAACCGAATCCACGTGTGGTATACGATAGACGTATGCATTAGCAAAACAAAATTTAGGCAAACAGATGTGGCAATCAATTCAATTCGTAAGCGTATTTGGTTCTTATTCATTCCACTGAAACTCTCAGGCTTTCAGCTTCAAAACTGGCTTTGAATAGCAATAATAACGGAGCGGAAAACCAAATTGTGCATGAATAAAAACCGGTTCTAGTTCAATAGTTCAAAATAAAGAATGCACACAGACTGAAGGAACCGTATTTAGCACACACACACCTGTCAACCGAAATAATCCAAAATTGCCTTAGGTTTGAGACTATAATGCCACAAATCACTCTACTCATTTGAGGACTAAAATAAAAATCGCCCATAATTCCTTATTTTGGGACTTTCGTTTACTTTTTCCCTTCGTATGCGTTCACCGCCGTTGTGTTTTTGAATGTACCTACCTATCTGAATCTTGATAGAGTGACAGACGATTCGCAAATACTAAACTCATAAGTTGTCTTGATTTTCCGGAGTAGACCCTAAGTGAATGCACGCATGGCCTATTCGGTGACATCTGTTGCCCCCACTCTGTCTGTTTTACGTATAGCCTCAAAATTGCATTATAATCATCGATGTGTGGAAGAAATTACTGTTCACCTTCAACAGGAAATAGCGGTGGCCTGAAACCCCTTTTGAAGCGAGGGTGTATCTCGGGTACCCAGAGGGATGAGGTGAACACTAAGGACAAAGCAGAACTCGTTCTTCATACGTCGTCTTGTTGATGTCAGAAGTTCAATAAAAAACAAAAGAATAAATTTACAGATCGTTCTACCAAGTGTGAATTAAGGAACTCTTATCGGCCGCCTCAGCCCCCACCAATACCACCGCCACATACATACTCGCACGTGTGCGTGCACCGCACAATGGCCTACTCTACCTGTATCCAGGCACTGGGACGTGGCAATCTAATGGAAGTGTCCTGATAGGGACAACAGATTCACCCATCATCTTATTTTAGTATGTTGTCTTTTTTTGCACAAACCAATTTTATTCATTTTTAAACCACACATTTTACTGTTTTTACAAACACACACCTGCAAACACCTGCATACGGAGTGCCAGCGGACAACTCAGTTGGCGTGTTTTTGTTTCACATTCGTTCTCATTCATTCTTTATTCTTCAAGCTACTGGAGCACATTGTAGTAGTATGAATCTCGTGTTGTGCAGTATGAATATCACATCATTGAATTTCAAAATGGATGTGGAGCTAACCACAGTTGCCAGTAGGATATAAACCACAGTCCATTTTGTGGTTTACTCCAGATGGGAGAAAGAGAGTCTATGCCATTACAACACAACGAATATGAGAAGTACCGGAGAAGTATTTACAAGGAAAAAAGGGAAAGTAATTAAAGTCTTCAACAGGTTGTTTCATAATTGGTCCCCAATTATCACTTGCTACAATGTTTCATGACAGGTCACTTGTCGGCAATCCGGCCAAGGGAGCTTGAGTGCTTGCACCAATTGTTTCTGAGCACACAGAGGGGTGTTGTGAAGACGGATTGAAAGTGTGGCTAGAATACGAGACCGTCCCGTTGTAACTCCACTTCGCAACCAAACCTTCATTAATTTGGATTGTTCATTCCATTTTGCGTGCCCCCTCACTGGTTTATTTTTTTCATCACAGAAAGCAAAACAATTGTGGATTATGCCAAGGCTGCGCACTTGAACGCGGACCAGGTGAACAGACTGATTCAGCTGTTGAACGGAGTTAAAAATGGTAAACAAATTGAGTTGCATGTGATGGGAATGCCATTGGGTGCGTGGAGTGAATTGTACGTTCTGTTCTATCGAATCTACTTGAGCGGGTTTTTGGACAATGTGGACGAATTGCCCGGGGTACAGACGATTACGAAACATTCATACTGGGAGAAACGTCCCTACTATCACTACTACTGAACTGTTGTGCACTCACGGACCACCTTGATCCCAAATCCCAAATCTCTTTCGTAGCCCACCCACCCCTGTCCCGCAACTATCTTACCAGATCGGTTACCCCTCGTACGTAACATGATTCTCTGTGAATGTGTGTATGTGTGAATTTCACGTAGCCAAATCATTTATTGCATATGCAACTATCCGAATGGATCAACAGTTTCGAGCAAGTGTAAAACAAAAGTATACATTTGTTCGCTCAAACAGGACTTCTCTCTGTCTTTCTCCAGACTGTGGGCAGATGGGACCCTTGACACGTGGTAGCGAATATCTGAGTAAGAATTTCGGCACGTACTTTCTGTCCCTCCCCCCGTTCCAGGTAGTTATTGTTGTAGTTAGCTTCCAGTTGAGTAGGCTAATGGAAAGCCATTATCGGTATGACTCTAGAGTTTGTAGATGACCAAATGACGGTCTGGACAATGCGAGGGTTAAATCACAAACTGGATCCAAGATTGTATTGGAGGTTTAACAGTCGAGACAGGGGATAAGCTTCAATTGACAAAAATGGAAGTAGTGAATCACTCGGATCGGGCATGAGAAACACACGGATCACGTAGGGGGAGAATTTAGATCAAGCACATTAGCTTAAACTATCATTTTCATCTTTTCTTTCGCTTCTTTTAATTGAACATGCAGCGATATCGTTCTCAAGATTAGGGGGTGAGACTAATCAGAGGTCTACGCGACAATACAAACTTGGAGAAAGATGAGGTGGTGGGATTCGACCACACGTCCAACGGAGCGGTAAGTTGGGGATCGTTTGAAACCATGCGATCAATCCTACTGTCCATTTTTCCGAAGACACGTGATGAACACAGAACAACCCAATTAAGGATCACTCAGCTAAGTGATTTCCTGACTGAAGAACTGAATGTGCTGATCAGAGCGACGGATTCTCGGCCGAACCCCGGCTATCGATCGGTTCACACCCCCAGCACAGTTCATCCCACTATTAATCCATCCAAAAAAGTGACAATAACCACGCCCGTATGGCAAGTGGCCTCAATCTACCGCTTTTTTCTTATCGTTTAGGAACTAATGCTGCTCGTTTTTAAGGAATTCGATGATCCTTTCGAAGATCCACCGACTGTTTTCAGAACCTACAGTTTTAACTGATTGACCTTTATATACACAAACATGGAGTCATCGCATTAATCCATAAGAGGACATAAAAGGTGATAAAATTCAAAACAATCCAAGTGCCGTAATGCGTTGAACTCTGATAAGATCCCTAGTTAACCGTTAATAAAATCAACTTACAGAATTGATTGAATGAATGACATTACATTCACAACGCACTGGCCGATTTTCTATACTCTTTCTGCTGTACCAGTGAACCCGGCACCCACTGAAGTTAGGTTACCAGTCAATAGGAAACTTTGGCAAAGAGCAGTACACGGAATGAATCCAGGGCTCGGGGTTTCGTCGCGTTGTACTACACAGAAAAGAAATGATCTGAAGCACACCGCTAGCTGTCGGCAAGATGCTTGATGGCGACAGTGACTAGATTTTAAATCTACACTGCTGCTGAACAACTCAGGTTCATGACATAAGTGTGTTTTGTGGGGAAGATAAATGCGTTCCGGGGGGATGCGTTGAGCTATGGAAATCAACAAAAGAAACGCCCATATACAGTGTTTCGTTAAAGTGACTGTTAATAAATAATAATTAAAAAAACGATGAGAAAATAGTAGCCATTTACTGAGTGTGGGCAATTCAACTTACTATCACTAAAAAGATAAGACAATCTAGTTCAGTCTATTGGTTCTAACTGCCACCCTTGATTGTGCTTAAGGTAAATAAACTGGTAAAAGTTTAGACTGTGCCCAGAAGTAATTTGTTAACCACATTAAACAAATTGGCAGAGTTTTGATCACAAACGGACATTTTGTGATGGCGGACGAGGCTGTTCAGTTCAGCATCTTTCATTCGCAGACGGAAAATCTTATCCGACTTTTTAACCCACTGAAAGCCGAACAGAAAAGTTAATAATCAGTAGACTGTTTGTTCCCAGAACTCACAGAGAAAACAGACCCCGATGCATGAGATCTTTGTCGTGGTACCTGTCAGCCGTATGATGATTAAAGCGTAAAGATCAATGTGTTACCTGATTCAGAAGAAGGGGAATATTGCACGAGGTTTTTCGCTCCAAACGGAGTGTCAAAAACATACCCCACCAAAACTCCGTGCGTATCACGGGGCAACTTGTTTCAACCGTGTTATAATTTAAACTTCATTAAGTAAACTTTACCAGAAGGTACTTGAAAGACGTTTATTTTGTACTGGACACACGGTACCGCATCATAATCTGCGTTGAGAAGGCATGGGGAAATGGACATGTTTAAAAGGCATTCTCATTTTCCTCCACTGATTGGCCATCTCTTCACCGCGTTGCTGATGGTACAGTTCGATCGCAATGCGGAAATCAGTAAAATTACTTGTCCATGGACGTCTCTAAGGTAAATACAGTCAATTGCTGAACCGTGCGTGATTGGTTCTATAGTGTGCCTATTTTCAGAAGGCATCAAATGAACTTCACAAACCTAGTCTGAAGATCCGCGATCAGTGAGGGACTCAGTGGTAAGCAAAATAAAGAGTGGAATGATCAGCCTTTTCGAACTGCTTCATATACACAGTTCAAACATTTTGAAACCATATAAAAAACCCATGGTGATTCGACCCATATTTGAAGAACTGTTGCGAATCACTGTGATTATGAGTTTCATCAGAACAGTGGCATTGTTAGTGCCTAGGGAGATTGAATAAAATGATGATTGGGGTGATATTTATGGAAATAAGATAATGATACACGCTTACCACAAACTGCAATGTACCGAACGCTCGGAAGAATGGATAAAGATAAATACCACCGATTACAATACAACAGCAGACCATGGGGGCTTCACCAGGCCCCGTCCGGTGTCTAACGTAACCCACACCAAAGATGGGCCTGAAGTCCCAACTGGCCTAGATCACACCGTTACTGCTGACTTCAAATCACAAAAACGATCTCGAATTTCATTTTCCGCCGGCTGAAAAAAGACAACCACGTAATTTTTCATGAAACTTCGAGTAGCACACATCCATTTTGATGATTCCAGTATCAACCAATTTGTAGTACTTTTACTCAGGGATATTCGATCCCCAGTCGAAATTCGCACGGTAATTCATGCAGTTAACACTTTACCCTCACTAATTTCAGTACAAAAGCTCGGGGGAGAATATAAAAGATTTTGATTCAATCAGTTCACGCCCGTAAAGCCAAATAATCCTTGATTTTGACGCATGATCGTAATGCACAGGTGCGGTCATGAATCAAAGGAGTGTTGACGATAAGGAGAAACTAAATGCGTTTGAATCGCGTTACTTAAGGATACATGGAAATAGAGAATCAGGCACATAGAGAGTTTAGCCAATGTTTCTCGCATAATGCCTCCTGATCTTTACTTCTATGAACTCTGTATCCGGTAGCGCGCCAGACCATACCCAACTAATTGACCTACGTGGGGAACAAAAATCGAGTGTGAAGACGCCATCTGTCAACAGTGCAAAGATAGGTTCGATACATCAACCACACAAGTGAACATCTTCTTATCTAATAAAAAATACTGAACGATAGTAGTTGGCTCTGCCCCGATCACTATATGTATCATACAGTATCCAAATTCAAATGGTCTTGAGGATCCATCGTTTGTAAAATGCCATATATTCGGGGGACGTCAGCAATCAAGCGATTACAGCCACCAACTCGTCGCCCAGGAAGTCGCCCGTTCGATAACGATCGGCACCGTATAATTTTCCCACTGTTCATATATGACACCGCGATCCTCTCATCCACCAATTTCCTCTCTCAAGCAAACGGTTTGTACAATTTTGTTAGCAATGTAGAAAAAGTGTGAAGGAAAAAGAAGGCACTCTGTTCGGCTTTTTGGATCACGTCTGAGGGTATCCTAGTCTAATCGATGAGTTCGCAATCTGGTCTGAGTTGAGCAAACTTTATCCATTTAGATGCGATCATCACAAAGATTCTCATCGCATTTAAACGCATCTACCTCGTGGAGTATTACCATCTCCCAATGAGCGAAACCCACACCCAAGATCATCAACAGTGCTTGGTGCCTGTTTCCAAAATCGAATAGGCTGATCCAACGCTTCACCGTCGTCAAATAACGAATATTTGCCTCTTGCGTGTGCTTGTTTCTATGTACTATCAGGGCTGTTATTCGGATTCTGGGGCATGAGCACATATTATATGAATAGTGTCGGTGTTGGAAAGATCAAACACTGCGGTGGAACAAACAATCAAAAGCGACATATAGAAATGCATGCTTAATGGTTGTTTAAACTCAACTGAACTGGTGGAACAAACAATAGAGCGTCAAACTGTCGGCGGTCGAAAAAGATTGTCTGTGGCATTGCACGAGTCAGTTGGGAAAACCGGATAGAGAGTATCTAGGTCATGCGTTAGACAATCGCGGCGGCGAACTGGGAGAAGGCATGCTACAAATGATGAAGTGTCCTTGGTGTAAGATGTTTCCCGAAACTGGTAGTAGGTGGAATAATGACAGGGGTGGGAAAACAAGGATCTGGTGTGAGGGTATGAAAACGATAAATAGAGGAATAAGATGTATAGTTCACTTTAGACTTGCTCCCCGGTGGCAAACGGCGGGATCAGCGTAATCGATGTTGACAGACTCCGTGTCTTAAAAAGTGGCTGGTGCTCATTTATCAGCTCAATTCCAAAATTTGGTCCGTGAGTGGATAGTCCTAGAAGTGGACGCTACCTACGTGAATAACAGGACGCACGGTCGGTTATCGATCTCTCAGGCCTCCCAAAAGCACGCGAGAGAAGACGGATTCAGCAGCACGGCCTTGAGCACAAATCACAAGTCACTTTACAAGTTCACTCTGCTGCTTGTATG